AGAGCTCAGAAGACCGGAAGGCTGATAGAAATCCTGCCTGTAAAGACTAGGCTGGGAGCTTTCTGCTAGGAAAAAGAACTGCATTGGTTGTTGGGCTCCAGATGATGTGCTTTATGGCTTGGCAGAAAGTTTGTGTGCATTTTGCTCGTGTCCAAAGACTTTGCCTGAGACTGAGATTACAAGTAGCAGACTGATTAATCTGGCCAAAGAAATTTCAAAGCAGTTGAATGTTGAGGCAGAGGCATGGCTATTGTTGGGGGTTTAAATCAGCTTTATGTTAAGAATCAAGAGCAAATAACTCATCATAATTTAAAATGTTGTGAGTTTGGCCAGAAAGGAAGTTTCAATAAAGCTGTGCGCTACAAAGAGACCTGAGAAGATCTTGTCAAGAAGCAGGAGAATAGAAAAGATGCCTGAGGACATCACAAGAGGCAGCAGGACTCCACCCTTGGCAGCCTCAAAACTGCAAAAGTGAAAGACTTTGCTTTGAGGAGAAAGCTGCAGAGTGCTATGTTCCAGAATGGTGGCAACAGCCACACTAGTTCCAGAATGGTGGTGTTATAGAGAATTTGTTCCTTGGAATCAGGGTCAGAGTGACCAGCAATGCAGGCACTCAATCCCTACAGCCAAGAGAGAAGAAAGCCTGGCTACTGATCCAGCTGGCAGCAGACCTTGGCATCATTCCTATGGTGGTAGTTTTAGGCATTTTCAGAATGAAGTCATTCTGAGGTTAAGGATTCCACCTAGATTTCAGAAGGAGGCCTGGGAGGCCACTCAGTGTGTCCCTGAGAGGGCAGTGCCTGAAGCAGAGAGTATGAAGCCTAATGTGCAGTGGAAAACCCAGAAGTTCGGAAAAGCCAGGAATGTGGATTATCTAAGGAAAGTTGCAAGGAGGGAGCAAAGCCAGTCTAAGAGAGAAGCCATGGGAGCTACTACTAAAAATGCGATAGGGGCAGAGCCACCTGGAGCTCACAACTCATCACAGATTGCCTCGGATGTTGAACATGGAACTACTACAGAACTTAACGTTTGCCCTTCTGGATCTTGGACTTGCTTTGGTCCCAGTGCTTTGTATCCCGCTGTTTGTACCTCTTGCAATGGTAATGCTTTTCTTGTGCCATTGAATGTTGAAAGTATTTAACTTCATTTGTACAGGCACTCACAGCTGAGTTTGCCTTAGATTTTGGAGACTAGGGAATTGGACTTTTTAGCAATGCTAAAACTGTTAGGACTTTGGTAACTCTTACTTTAGTCCATAAAGGACTAAAATGCCTTTTGTATAAAGGGATATGCATAAGTCTTTGGGGGACCAGGGGCAGAATGTTATGGTTTGTATCTAGTTGTCACCCCAAAGCCTCATGCAGTCACTGGAGTAGGCTTCTAGACTTTGTGATTAATTCATGATGTAATTGAAGGATTATGGGTGTGAGTGCTACACCTGCCCTGGGGTGGGTAATCTGCATACAGCATGGGGAAGGGAGAGGGGCTTGCTAACTGCCACAGTGGCTGCTCCTCCCTTTGCTCTTTGCTGTTTCCCCCACAAGCCTCCCACCATGAACTACTGCCCTCTGCCATGTGCCACTCTGCTTTGGAGCCAGAGTGCAGACTGAAACCTCCACCAACTGTGCGTTAAAGAAACCTTTCTATCCTTAATTTTGGGTGTCAGGTATTTTCTCCAAGCAATGAGAGAAAAGTAACTGAGACACTTGGGGACCCTGAGAAGAGCTCTTCCTTAAACATGGGAAAGTAATTTGGAAGACAGCTTGCTATAATAAAAACACATGCTGCACTTTTCCTTAAAGAGAGTCTTTAGGTGAATCTTATGTTTAATTTATAGCAAATTACTTAGGTCTTACTATGGAGACATAAGATTTATGGTGGTATTTGCCTGTAATCCCAACACTCAGGCCAGGAGGACAGTTATGAGTTCAAGTCCAGTTGAAGCTACATAAGTGAATTCAGGGCTGGGCTCAACTGCATAGTGAGATTGTTTCAAAATCAAAGTTGGTTCTACCCATTGTTTAAAATAATGAGCTGGAGGCTCTTTACATTGTTCACTTCAGTTTGTGTCTAGATGTCCCCTCAAAGCCTCATGCAGTCATCAGGTGGGCTTCTTGAGTTTGCAATTGATTCAAGGTCCAATGCTGGGATTATGGGTGAGATTGCTACACCCACCCTGAGGCAGGAAGCCTGCATACAACATAAGGGAGAGAAAGAGGCTTGCTCTCCGCTGCTCCTCCCTTTTTGCTCTTAGTCTTTTAGTGTTTTCTGCTACCCTGAACTGCTTCCCTCTACCACGTGCCACCCTATCTTGGAGCCAGCTGAGTACAGACTGAAACCTTCACCAACTGTACACTAAATAAACCTTTATTTCCTTAATTCTTGGGTCAGGTACAACGTCTCAGCTCCCATTCAGAGGCTAGAATGAAGGCACCAGCCTGTCTCCTTCTCTGGGCATCAACAAGCCATGCTGCGCTGTCTTCCGACCCAAGAGTTTCATCACTGATAGGTTCAGCTCTTAGTTTCTGCTTTTGAACCTACGTGTTGTTATCCTTAACACCACAGTCACAAGTACTCTATGCAGACAAGGGGCCAGGCTGTGTTCTGCTCCACATCCTTTGCTTTGGTGGTGTTTTAGTAATTAATTTAGATGGTAATTCTTCATTTCAGTAAGTGATGGGCTTTTCTGTAACATTATCTATATACCAAGTTAAGGCCTTTCAGAAGATGGTCTCCCAGCCTTAGCATGGGGACCTTGGCTCACTGACACCCCTGCTCATGCGCGGAGGGGCCGCCTCTCACTGCAGTGAGGCGCTCTGCAAAGGGGCAGTCCAAGAGTCCTTGTGAGGATGGCTTCTGCATAGTACTTCCATCTCAAACCTAGTGCTCCTCCCCGGGCTACTCTACACCGCATGCTAAGGCGTTACAGTCACCGCGCCCTCTGCTCAGCTGATTGTCTTGAGTTTTTCTTAGCAGCAACCACCTTCTGAAAGACCTTAATTTGGTCACATAAAAGCCCATCACTAATTGAAATGAATTACCATCTAAAATTGCTAAAACATCACTTTATTTTAAAAACTTGTGAGTCAGCATTCAGAATGCCATGTGGACACATTTTAAATTCTTCAGGTCATAATAAAAATTACAACATGTTTTTAGTGTAAAAATCAATTTATTATACAACAATCATACAGAATGCTTTTTATCTACAAAGAAAAATGGCTTTTCCTACCTCCCTGTCCATCCTAGTCATGATGCAGGTACTTTCAAATGAAAACAAAAAGGTCATATCCTTATCTTCCAAATAAGTAACTACTATAAACACTCAAAAGAGATGTAGAAATTTTGGGAAGGACTAGAATGGCCTCTTACATATAAAATGCAACTCTAAAAAAAAATAAAATAAAATAAAATAAAATGCAACTCGGCTCATTGTAGTAAATACAGTCTTCCCCTAAAAGTATTTCTCTGAGGGGCTGGAGAGAAGTTTATTCATTCACATGCTTAGTTCCATTTATATGTCTGATGGCTTGAAAATTTTTGCTTAATCCCATTCAACAAATAATCCATTTTGTCTTAAAAGTTGAGGGAATTATTAACCTACTTTATGGTATCTTTTACAGTATTTTCATTCTTGGGGCAAGAGGAAGATGACAGTATGCATTTTTTAACATTACAGAGATAGCAGTATTTTTTTTTTTTTTACAGCTGTTTCAGGAAAATCACAATAAAAGTAAAATTTTGGTTTTTTAAAGTTATAGCACAAGTTAAAATACTAACCTGATTCAGTTTTTGTGGCTCAGATCTCATAGCTTTGTTTGTGTGTGTGTGTGAGCCCTTGAATGGTCGAAGGCTCTAGGTGTTTTCATTATGCATCGCTAGAATTCACCTTCACTTGGCTCTGAGGGGCTTGAAGCTGCTGTCATGAAGAGCTGCGTGGCTGTCAGCTTGCTGGAGGTTGGCTCCCTTGGTGCCTCACACATATGAGGCCTAGGAAAGCGCCCCAACCTGCTGAGGTGACGTGTGGAGGGATTATAGGGTGGGTCTCTCAGGCAATGAAGAGTAGGCTGCGCACAATGGCCAGTGAGTGAACCTCCTTGGAGTCTCATTTTTACCCAGAATGCACTTTGGTAACATTTTGGCCCTGTGTTTGAGAACTAAAACTGGACTTGAGTTTTTGTTCTCCAAGGGGCCTTCTCTGTCTGATCTGGGTCTTGTAGAAGTGTAACAGTCGTGGCCAAAGCTAGCCCTAGTTTCAAAATCAGTTCCTGGAAGAGCACAGACAATAGTTGTAAATGGTAAGAGAAGCAGGTGGGGCAAGCACCTGGGGCTGGTCAGTTCTAGAAAACTGTTCAGAAGAAAAATGGACCCGAGACAGGAAGAGCTCTGCTCAACAGACAATCAGCCAGGAGGAGGGGTTGCGGGTGCCGTGTTTACCTGAAGACTTCTAGGTTTACCTTCACAATACACGTGGGAGAGTCCTGAGAAAGGCTCATTTACATGAAGCAAAAGTTTACAAAGTCACCCCTGCAACAGTGAAAATTTCAAACCAGAGTTGAAATGGGTGGTAAAAAAGAGGTAGAAAGGCACCACAGTTAGGGAATGGTAAAAGGGCCTTCCCAATGCTCATGTATTTGATGTTAATTTCATACCTAAAAACTTACCTTAAAAAAAATGAGAAAAGTGTCACCGTTGGCAAATCTTGTCTTATGTGGTATAATCCTTAGAAAGTATTTGTTTTCCTTGTCGGTACAGTTTAACAGCGAGGGGCAGCCCCATTGGGGAGAAAGGACACACTGTCTGAGCTCTCCTCAGGTGTGCCCCACTCCATGGCCATCACAGCTCTGAGTGGGGAGAGGCGTTTTCACTGTGGCTCAGAACTTGCCTGTGGCTCAGGGTCGAAATTTTTCCAAACTATCTTTGTTTTTGAAAACTAACCTATAAGGATTGATTGATAGCAAGTGTTTGGGATAATACTTATGAGTAGGCTTACAATAAACAGTTGATGAATCCAGTGTTTATTCTGCCCACATTGTTGCTCATTCTGATTTATAATATCCCAGTTGCACACACACCCTAAAGGAAAGGGATGCCTGGACTGCATCCTTATTCTGAATGGAAACGGGCAGGCAGCCAGATAGCAACACGGGTTTTAGTATGAAGCACATCTTTATTAACCTAGGCTCACTATCATGGGAGCTAGGCAGGAATAGGAGAATAATTGAGACCAAATTAAAATCAAGGAATGACTCCTATCCAAAGCCCCTGAGTTGTGAGGATTTGGCAGAAATTTTTCTTCTTATAGTAACTAAAATTTTATTACTGTATCATTAAAAGTTTGGAATTAGAAGTGGCTTTAAAAATCTGACAATACTGGGTTGAAGGAGAAAGGTTTTGCTAGATTTCTGTTTTCTGTTTATGATCCTATTTTAATATTTTCTAGGGTTGATTCTAATATTACTTAGAAACAAAAGCAGTATAATGCACCAGTAATTATTGCTTAACATAGACTAGAACATACCCTGTTTACAGTCTCATTAACGTTTTGTTGTACACACTTTAGTCTGAGGACCTGGAGCCCTCCCATGAAACAGCGGTGCCCTGTGTTCCTGGCTGCGCATGTGTATAGGGCGTATAGAGTCGGCTTCTGGGTGGGCTCCTGTGCGGGAGCGCGGGAGGATGGAGGGGAAGATGCACCTGTTCTGAGTCTTCCGAGTCTAGCCTCATTCAGAGCTGACCAAAGCATTCAGTTAACAGAGTAACCTAATGGCAATACAGTAATACATTCTGGGTACAAATGATTTATAAACAAAAAGAAATTAGTTTGTGCTAAAACATACAACTTTCAATTTAGTCTTTGCTTTAAAACCAGCGAATCTGCCAGGCTAGTGCACTGTGTTTGCATTCTCCATTGCGCTGTTTTTATTGTGCTTTCTTGTCCATCATGCCATTCGCTGCAGCCAAGTGGGCTCTGGACAGCCCGTTCCTGACTTCTTTCTCCACAGCAGGCTGTTTCGTATCTTTCTTTACTGGCTTTTTCCGGTATGTCTGTTAGATTGGGGTACACGTTAAGAGAAAAAGAAGAAATGATTCCTTAATAAGAATTTTCCCTTAATGATTAAACAACAAAGAGAGGGCAAGGAGAAAAGCTAGGAAACATGACAGGGGCAAAACCTTACATTTATAAGCACAAGATGGTTAAGGCAATGGTCCTGAGACTCTTCAGCAGGTTATTGAAACTAGCAGTTAATTGGTAGGATTCTCACC